ATCATCGCAACAACAAGAAACAGTCCCTGACCAACGGTCATAGGTCCGCGGCTACTGCATCTCCTGTTCCCCACGGGAGTAAGAAGCACCGCGAAAGGGAGAGGGACCATGGATATGGCGATTCAAACCGCTCGAGAAGCCATCATGATGATCACGGCACGCCCCGACCGGATAAGAGGAAGCATGCATCAAATGAAGATATTCGGAGCTCAAAGCACCGTCGGTATGATGAAACCGGGCGCTCGAACAAGCATGGCGATGAGCGAGATCGGGATCGGGAGCGAGACCGAGATCGTCTTCGAATTGAGAAGAGTCGTTATCGCGATGAGGATGACCGTAGGCATGATAGGCATCGTCACCGGCACGATGATCGTCGTGATGATCGCAGAGATGACCGCCGAGATGATCGCAGGGACGACCGTCGAGACAGCCGCCGAGATGATCGACGAGATGGTCGTCGTGATGATCGCCGGGATGACCGCCGTGATGACCGCCGTGATGACCGTCGCGAGGACCGTCGCGATGACCGTCGCGATGACCGTCGAGATGACCGCCGAGATGATAGACGGCGCGACCATGAAGCGCGACCGCATGATGAACGCAAAGCCAAGGCCCTTCGTCGACTGGATGAGCTGCGACGCATTGGTGACGACCAAGAACAACGGGCAAAAGACAACGATGCTCTGATTTGGTTCCTCTTGAAGCCTGTCCGTGGAAACTTTGAGAAAATCCTGTCTACTACCAAGGAAACCGTCAAGTCAAGCAAAGAGCGCGCCTCTATCTTCAGTGTTGAGCTCCTCGCCATTGGACTGTTCTTGGATGAAAACTTTACTGCCGCCGACGAGGCATTGAAGAGCCGTTTCTGGTAAGAAATGACCATAACTTATTTCGCACCTCCACCTTTGCATAATCAACTAACATTCCTGCGTAGGGATTTCCTCGCCGAGTTGTGGCCTGTAGATGATACAAGCAAGAGCGTGACCGGCCAACGCCTCAGCAAGATGTATCAAGCTCTTCGTGCCCGCAAGTCAAACCCAGGTGACAGTTCCTCGAAACCAAATGGAAGATGAAGGCTATGATGTCGGGCAAATACCCGTTTCATGGTGCCATGTGTCTCATTATATTGGGCATCTTCTTTTACTTCACATCATTGTCACTACCGGATTCTTCCTTTTGAATTCACTCCGACCCCGACCCCTTCGCACTCTACTTTTGTCTTTTAAAAACAGCATTGTCTGGCGTTTCGGTTATAGGCTTGAGGTCGTTATTATTTCATGATTGAGGAGAGTTGAGGAAGACATACCCGGATCAGCATGGCCAGGATTTATGAGAAGAAAAAAAGCTTGGGAGTTCATTAGCGACAACCTGCGAAAAGGTCTATTGTTTTTATATTTACACAATTTTGTTTGCTAGGCGATTTTCGATTATTCATCGTCTTTGTTAAAACATTAAGGGAGTTGGAATTTTGTTTTTTTAGAGGGCATTCTCAGAACCCACGCATACCAATGGTTTCTTTCTAATCATGGTGTTTCGGACCAGAGCTGAGGCATCAGCACGTCCGTCTCAGATGCACACTCTCGCAGGGAATGGCCCGCCAGCCGGTGCTTCATGGTTGTACATTATTAAACGCTGTTTCTTGCACACTCGGCCCAATGGGAGACTTCTTGACTAGATCAAGACATATGGGGTGGCTGGCGGGAGGCGGTGGTGTGCGAGAGTAATCGGGCCTGGGTTCGCTACATTCCCCAAGAGGGAAGACATAGATAAGACGACATGCAGCATTTGTCCCAGTACCAAGGCTACTGGCATAATAATGGAAATCGAACAAGTTTCAACAAGTTTACTGGCTTCTCTTTGTGCAAGTGATGTGTAAAACGGCTCTTAACCTCCTGATACCCATGGCTTGAATTATCCCTGGCTTGGGAATGCGGTGAGCTTTTTAAGATGGAGTGAACCTAATCCTATATCATGCGTTTATTATGCCCTTGGCATGTAGACTGACCCAGTGGCGAGGGTAGTATTTCTGAAGAGTCCACATAGTTCATAGTAGAATTACTTGGGACTGACTGATGTGCAGCTGACATCTAATTAATTGTTATTATACCAAAGTCGTGACACTGAGCTTACGAGACTAGACGTGGAAGAGCTGTCTACCTCGCAAATAGCCATATCAGTGAACAGGTGTCAATAGCAATGGTGGAGGAAGTAAGTTTTCCCCAGAGATCCGAGGCTAACTGGAACTCGTATACATCATCAGGTAGTAGTTATTGTGCAACCGGTTTATGCCTCACTATTTAGACGGGAGGGAGTAAAAAACCAGCGTATATATGTCCCGAGAGTTGATATAGAGTGAAATAAATGGAAAAAGGGTTGAAGCGATCCTGAAGACTCGCCGGATACCTCAAGGACTGAACCCCATGAATGTGAACATTACTCATGCCAAAGTACCCGTAAATTAAGACACCAGTTATTTCTTGTCTCTCTATTACCTAGAGCCATCAATGCCACCAGTAAACACATCTCTTCCCCTTGGTATAATGGCCAGCCCTCGTCTTTCCAGATAGCGCGGTCCCGGCGATGTAGACGGTATATGCTAGGCGATACTACCTCGACCACTCTCTTCTGACCATCGTCCCTAGTTTAGAAGGTAGTCCTCTCGGTATTGGTACTCAATTTCGAGACGGAAATGGGCAGCATTTCTGCTCAGCGTCTCGATTTGGGAGCGATTGACGCCGGATCTAGGGTCCAAGCATTAAGCATCAAGCATGGATACGAGAGGCTTTACCAATCGGTGGCCCTTCTCAATGGCTCTGGTGAACTATTCTCCAGCCCGCAGCTGTAAATCTTCCAATACTCCAAGCATTAAGGGTAGCACATTTGAAGTGGGAGAATTCGGACCTCGTGAGGGTTTGGTAAACACAAAGGATATTCACTCCTCAAGCTATACACGCTGCAATACCCACTCCAGTCTGCAACTACATTGGACTTGAGTGATTGTATAACGAAATCTCCCCGTCCCCCCGTGGGAATTAGACACGTATACCAGGCAAGTGGATCATTAATGGTGTTAATGTGTGTTAATATACTCCCGTTTGGTCCCCCGAGAGTGTAATGTCAGACGAGATCTGATCCCACAATGTCGAGGGTATGGTCAATGCCAATAAGAAAGCCGGTGACATCATTTACAAGGAGTTTGATGCCAGAAATACAGAGTTGTCAAGATTTCAGTGATATTGAAAGCCCCGGGGCTTGAGTTTCAGCTTGGCCCCCAAAACGTCAGGATGAACCCGATGTCCAAAGCGGTTCCGACGTAAAACATCACCATGGGATAGACGCGATTTAATAGAGGGGAAATTCGTACGGAGAGCTATAGAGGAGTTCTTTTGTTGGTTAGATCGGCAGACTAGGAGGCCCTGCGCCCCCTCAGGTGGAAGGACTCAGGGACCGCATGCCTGCACGAAGTCTACAGGTTTGCTCGAGGAATATGACTCAGATCGGTAGGTAGATAGGTAGGTCGGTGTTTTGATTAGTGGGTTTGGGCAGGGCTGAGTGCTTACAGAAGCGTCGCGAGCTGAGGTAAACGAGGGAATGAGCGTTGCTTGTAGATGAAGCTCCTCCTGGAAGGTCATTGGAGAGACCATCCTAGTGGGGCCGCGCGATCTTGAATTATGGCAAGAACTGATGCATGTATGTCCTCGTTGGCATGTTGTTCGCGTGTTGGGGATGGGATGAGGCGCAATGGCAGGTTGACTCGGGGAGGGGGAAACGGGCATGAATGATATGGCTACGAGTCGGTGAGGAACGCTAGATGTGTGCCTTTATAGAAAAGAGCAGCGAGCTAGAGAAGTGCGAAGTGGGCTGGATTTTGAATAGGCCGTTTTGATACACTTTGAATGTAGGCTGGGGTCGATGAGACCGGCGGAGTGGTCAGCCTGCGGATGACGAGGAGGGAGGGAGGATGATGCAGGGTGATATGAGGAGGTTGACGATGATGAGAGACGGTTGCTGATGACACTGTTCGGGAACTAGAATGGAAGGAGGATGGATGGAACTTTGGATCTAGATACGGGCGTGCCTGGCCACGAAGCGGGTGTGGCTGCTGCGTTTGCCACGGGACGGCAGGTGCGTCCATTGTAACATCACATCACTGACGCGGTGCACTGCATGCATTCGTACGTACGTAGCCTGCAGGTGCGGTGCATCGTGCTTGCCGAGACAGCCCTAGGCGACGAACGACGAGCAAGCGCGGCCGCGGTCGCTATTGCCCAACACAGTCTAGCAGCTGCGGCAGTGTAGGTTGCGACTGCCTCCGCCAAGCAACTGACCTTCGCAAAGCACCCACCGGCCAGGCCATGCCATGTGCCGTTTTCGCGGCCGTCTCCAGCGCAAATCTGCCTCGAGGGGGGCCCTCCAGCCTAGCTGCAGTCAGTGGGTTTGTTGCATTGCCACCATCATCAGCCATCTCTGCTCACGCTCACTCATGTCCGCACCCGTGTTCACGTTGCCCATTCGCTCTAGCCTGATTTCCACTCCCGCCGCATCCTCTTCACAGCCCGGCCGTGCAAAGAGGAAAAAAAAAGGATACGGGGATTGACGCGCAAGACCGCTTCCCCATCCCACGCGATGCAGCCCTGATCGCATATAATTCACAGTCACTCCCCTTTTGTGTGTCGTGTGACTGACTTCCTCCATGACCAACTGATTCACTTACACATCACAAAGCGCACCCAAGTGGCCAACTGCCATTCACAGCCAGCATCCCGCTGAGCCGGGGGTTTTCTTTGTCGGATGAGCTCCTTTTGTTGTCTTCTAATTCGTATAAATACCTATCTCAAACCGCCGGGTTGAACATATGTTTTTTTGTTGAACAAACACCATTTTCTCTTCTTGCAAACTGCCGTCAAAAAACTCTCTTACATGCCAAGAACTACCTACGCACCAACGCCCATCTTCCCCCATATTCTTAACGATAATCCATTACTTTTACAAAGCAAACCGCCATGGCTGCCTCCTCACCCTTCGCCCGCGAGCGGGCCATCGCCGAAGCCGCCGTGCTCCGCGCCGCGCTTCTCACCAAGAAGATCCAGGACAAGGTCAGCAGTGTCCCCAAGGGCGACCAGTCCCCCGTCACCGAGGCCGACCTCGCCGCGCAGGCCCTCATGATCAGCGCCCTGCAGGAGGCCTTCCCCGGGGACTCGTTCGTCGGCGAGGAGGGCTCCGCCGAGATGCGCCGCGACGAGGAGCTGCTGCAGCGGGTCTACAGGCATGTGGCCTCGGCGCCGGACGTCGCCAGCCCGGAGACCGGCTCCAAATTCCCCAAGCCGACCGACCGCGAGGACATGCTCGCGCTGATAGACCGCGGCGGCAAGGGCACAGGTGGCCCCAAGGGTCGGTTCTGGGCCATGGATCCCGTCGACGGGACCAAGACGTTTCTCCGCGGCCAGCAGTACGCCATCTCCTTATCACTCATCGAAAACGGCAAGGAAGTGGTTGGAGTCTTGTGCTGCCCGAATCTGAAACTGCTGAACGGTAGAGTGGTGGAGCAGAGCGTCGATGTGGACGGATTAGGGGTCATGCTCTCCGCCGTCAAAGGGCAGGGTGTCTCCGTGCGATTCCTGTCGCGATCACCAGAGTTACCGCCGGCCACCCGTTTGGAACGGTTGAGCGGCCCGGCTGAACTGAAAGATTTGCATATTGTCGACGATCGTGAGAGCAAAGCTCTTCGGCATGACGTCGTTGAGCAGCTCGCTGGGAAGTTTGGGGCATCGTACCCAGGAACAGAGGTTTGGTCGTCACATGTGCGCTATGCGTCCTTGATACTCGGTGGAGGACACGCTCAAGTCCGTGTACCTAAAAAGCTGGATTCACATGTCTATATCTGGGACCATGCCGGGACCCAGCTCATTTTCACAGAGGCCGGGGGCAAGATAACCGATCTTGATGGGAAGCCTATGGACTTCAGCGCTGGCAGAGAGCTGTTCAACAACCGGGGAATGATTATCGCCAGGGAAGCTGTCCATGCGGATATCTTATCAGGAATATCACAACTTTTGGCAAAACCATGATAAAAGTCGATTAGAAAAGCAGGCGTCTTGTTTTTTCCCTTCCTTTAAGATTTGAGATTACACCATAGATGAAACAACTAGGTATAGATAATTTAGACCGATCCCTCGTTGTCGAGGTTCTTGTTTCTACGGAAGTGCCTGAAAGGGCCCCCTGCCAAGCGCCTGACGTCCCACGTTGAACGTTGCTGAAGCCGCACGCCTGGAGCGCTTGACGTCCGACTGTTAATCTCTGTCAGCCTCCTGGCGTGGTCTCTGCTCTCTAGTTGCTTGAGTCGCTCTCTTTGGATGTTTCTAATCGCTGTTGAGTTGTAGTTGCTCTTCTTGTTTCGCCATCCCAGCCAGTCCTCGACTGCAACATAGACTAGACTAAGGCCAACATGAAGGACCGTCCGGATCCAGTTGCTGAAAGCAAGGGACAAAGAGACGGCGATGACGGCGGCGCTCACGCCCACTGGTGACGGATTAGTGGTTGGTTAGAAAGTAGGAAATCTTCCATGTTTGATATTGACACTTACCCATGTATTTCAGTTGTGTACTCAGGTCCATTTCGCCGTCGTTACTGAATTCCTTCGCATTCATTCCGAAGACAGAGGTCACGAAAGAGAGCGGTAGCTATTTCCTTCTGTGTTAGTAAATTACTGAACGGCAATGAATTCCACACGACTTCAACACTTACGAAGAAGATTGTCACCACGGTGAATACTACGATTGACCGTCCTTGTAATACACTCTCGTCTGCTCTTCGGATAGCCGCTTTGGCCTCGATGATGTTGGCCTGCTGTTGCTTCATGTCGAGAAGCTCACGGAGCTTTTCATATTCCATTAGTATGACTTTAAATGGCTCGGATTTGAAGTCGCAAAATGAGATCCACACACCTGAGATCGAGTTTTCGTCTGCAACCTTTCCATGCTAATCAATTCGTCGCGTCTTTGGGTAATATCCGCCATTGTGGATTTAACCCGGTCCATGGCCTGTTTCCTTCCATCTGTATCCTGCCCAGGGATAGCGTCAAAAGCCCGAGTGCTAAGACTGTTGAGCACTTTAATGAGATCCTTCATGACTGATATTTGTTGCGAATAGATTTCCTGCATGATTTGGAGTTCATCGATGACTTGCTGGGCTTCTTCCAGAATTGACCATTCGAAGCCAATGTTGAGTGACCTGCGCAGCATCTTTTCTGCAGACTCAAGGCTGTCGAGACTGATTCTGCTCACGTCTCGCCCGAAGCCTTCATATGCAATCGTTTTCTTTTCCGCCTAGTGAAGTGTGAGCTCCCAGAAGGTGACATAGGGGTTTACTTTGCAAACTTACGATTTTGGAAATGGCTGAGCTGAAGAGATCGACTAGTTCGGGACGCTGGTCAAGAGGTTTTGTGTGATCGAAGAATACCTTGGAGCATTCGTCAACGACGATGAGAGCAATATCATACACCGAGTGTATCTCGTCACCATCGAGCGCGCCAAGGCGGTCGCGGATTCCACGATGAACAGCGGAAGGGTCTGGTTTATTGCGACCCCATCTCCTTGGAAAGCTAGAAATGACGGTATCTGGTGGACCCAATCAGCATCTCCGATAACAAGTGAAGGAAAGAAGGAGCATACTATCATCCAAGATCCAGAGCCAGAGCTGGTCGACCATGATGATCCGGGAGGTGGAGTCTGGATCATTGTCATCGCCATAGTGACGAGTGGCCCGACACACCACCTGGTCTCGATCTCGACGGGTCGTGTCTTCAGCTGTCCAGTAGTAGTACTGTTCCAAGGTCCTCCGCATGTGCAATGGAGGGTCATTATATAAATGATCCTCTATAAGCCTCCCGTCAGCGGCCTCGTCAATGATCTGGTAGAGCTTGGCAACATGCCAAAAGTACTTGGCCAGTGGGTGGTGCGGACGCCACGCGAGATGCCTTTTCCGCTGGTCCGCTTCAAAGCTTGATATAGGACGGGCATTCTTGAGGACCTCCTTCTGAGCAATGTCTGCTATTTTGTTTCTCATCCTAAAAGTGTTTGCTCGACGAAGTTTGTCCCTGCGTGACTTGGCTACTTGGACAAACTGTGACATCCGCTGAAGACGCTTCTCTACTTCCCAGTGGAGAAACGGTAGCTGCACACTGTAAGTATCTACAAGCGACTGCAACAAGATATTGGAACGGTGTGCTTACAAATATGGCGACATCCTTGCGGGAGTTATCACCTTTCCCCTTTTGTGCTTTGGGGAGAGGAGCAGATGGAACTACAGAGCAACGGGTAGTTACTTGTCGTGCGTGGACAGGAAGGTTCGTCCCGCCTCGCTGTTGGCCCCTCCATAGCTCGTTTCTCAAAAGGCGCTGAGAGTTGTGCTTAAGGTTATAGACCAGTTTGCTATCAAACTCAACGTTGTCTTCATTGTAGTAGCGGGAAATGGCCTCCTCTACCCATTTCATATTGTTGGCAGGGAGGTGGAAGTATCGCAGTTGACCCTTGCGTGTGTCCCTCTTAAGAGGTGTGCCTTCCTTGTTGTAGAGGAACTGCTGGATGGATATCTTTTGATGAGGGAACTGGCCGTGTACGAGAGGGTGATCAACTGAGACCCAGCCTTTGCCTTGCTCCCAGGCAATGACCCATCCGTTGTAGCCATAGTCCTCTTTGCGAGGATCATCCTCGCTACTCACGGGGCCCGACTCTAGGTCTTGCATGTAGGTGTCGGGGCTAATGGAATCCATCGCCTCTGTATAGGATGGCTTCTTCCATTGCTGAACGTATCTGAGGATGATGCGATTCCGGGCCAGATTTGAGGTATCGCCACTTTTTTCAGCTTGCTTCTGGCACTTTGCAATCTCATCAGCGGATCGCTTCAACGCAATCTCTCGCCATTTTGTCCGCGAATCATCAAGCAAAGCTACCAGGGGGAGATCGTCAGTTTTAAAGACCCGGTAGTCCTTGAAGTGCTCCCGAAAGTAGCGAATGCGCCTGATCTCTTTGCGGATCAGTTCCTGCGCCGAAGTGTCAAGAGACTCGTACAACTCCTTGCGTTTGGTGTATCTGGTACGCAGATACTCACTCCACGCATCAAGCACAGGACTAGTGTCCGAGAAGGCGTCTTGTACTGGATATTCGTAAGGCGGGCGTGTGGACGTGGAGGCTGCGTCGTCTTGGTCGCGGGTTGTGGGGGAAAGATGATACCAGTCTTGTCCTTGTTGTTGCGTCATAGTGTCATTATCATAAAAATCATCAACGTAATCCAATCAATCATTCACGGTCGTGGGCGGCATTCATCGAGGAGTAAAAGCAAGGAGAGGAAAAGAAATCCAACGAAATGCAAAAAATCAAGGTTGCGAGAGAGAAAAACGGAACAGAGACAAAAGTCCAGACGGGAAACAAATGGCTCGCTGGGTGAGGCTGGACTAGAAAAGCAGGCCAGGGACAATTCTGGATCAAACCCCGAAAAAAGGGATCAGAAAGGCCATCATTTCACCAGGGTGGAGGCATCCAGGCGCCTGGCGGTAGAACGAGGTCTGAAGCTTCTGCACGAACCCTGTCGCTGCATATAAACTGCCCGGTTCGGAGGAGGTTGGTAGCTGGATGGCAGCACCTTGTCCCAGGGCATTGACCAACGAAGCGAGCCGCAGGATAGGCCCGACGCTAGGAAGTTGTTTAATTACATTAAGAATCAAGCGATTGATTCGAGAGGAGCTGGCTGATTGATTCCCGCGCCCCCTCCCGCATCGCGAACGGCGGTCTTTTAGCTGCATGTAGGTAGGTAGTTTTGAGGGGACTTGGCTTTGTGGATCATGGAGCTTGTTCCCCATCACTTCGATCGAATTGAGTACATTAGGTTAGGTAGCACCTGCCTGTGGGAGTAACCTGGAAGGCAGGTGGCGGCCGATGAACCGCTACCCGAAGCCTCCCACCTCACTCAGCGGCCAGACAGCACGCCCACACTGACGGTAGCACTTGAGATGCATATGCTGCTGCCCTTTTCGTCTTAGCGCCCTTACCTAGCAGCTTCTGCGCTTTCTGCTTTGGATTGACACCACCACGCTTGTTCCTTCCCGCAGCGTTTATTTCTTCGAGTTGCTAAACTTCGATTCATTATGAGACAAATTGCTTCTAGCCAATTCCAGCGATTTCAGGCCATGTGATCTTTTTTTTTTTTTTAAAAGAAGCTTCTTCTTTCCGGAGCATTTTAGCGTATTCTTGTACTGGTCTCACCTGAATAGAAGGGTTCGTCTAGGGTTTCACTGGTAGTATCGGCATGGGCTTTCTTGTACTTCTATGATGCATAAGCTGTACAACGTGGAACAGCTAAATTTATAACCACATGATATGGCTCTCATCGTTGTCATGAATTTAACTATAACGCCGGGCGCTGCTTCAATCTTGCCGCCTTTGTGGGGAGGCTTCTATCCGTTAGCATTTTAATGGCCCTGTGATTTGTACTCGGGCTCCCTCCAGGTCCGTTCCGAAGCATTAGAGGTCTCTCAGCCAATATACTAAACAAACGAGGAAGTAGACATGCTTAGGCCTTCGACTATCAATAGAACTCCGTTATTCGAAGACCGATTGTACAGACCGAGATAGACGGTTGTTTTTGCAAGAACAAGTCTTATTATACTAATGTAGTCAACAGTAGAGCAGCCACAGTTAAAGTCAGAATTTCCCCAACTGTCAAGTCTTGGCGATTAAGTTCATACAATTGACATACTCAGTAGCCTCAAGGAGACCAAGGCTGACTCCGTCTTAAAAGCGGGATTGCTTAGACAATGTTCACTGACTTGTAGTCTCCGATTACCTGCTGGGCGATACATGGTTACCGCCAAGACCTGTCAAGTGCACAAAACGACGCATACGAGCCCTCGCCGTGCGAGTCTGTAATCGCCGAGTTTCAGGTCGCCATTAGGTTCATGTTCCGCGGGTTACAATTGAAATATATTATGCCACCTCGTTGCCGAAATGGTATGTACATGCATGTATAGATTGTCTAGTCTCACAGTGTCTAGGTCTTCCCAATATCCAAGTTGAGCTGGGTCACTAACCAATAACCTACCTACTTTACATCAAGCTGCTTCGGCCGCCAATCTCCATGCTCGGCTGCCCGTCCTTCAGCTGCCCGCTCCGCCCAACCACAAACTCGTGATAGATCCGTTGGAGCCTTGACCGCTCCTCCGAACTGATGCTTGCCCTGGTCGATTCAAGGGCTTTTTCAACGTGAATTTGCCCAATCACAACTTCCTTCTCTTGACCGCTTCCTTTACCCTCTGGCCTAGATGGCATTCTCAAGCCTTTTTGGGAGTCCCTGGCTTTCCGCTTTGCCAACTTGATTTCCTCCAACTTCGAGACGATGGCTGCTCTCTCCACAGCCCACGCCGCTTGACTTTTGGCGCTGGTCTCCTCTGCTGAGAGGCTGTCTCCGTATTGGAATTGGACAAAGTTGCTGGTCCTGTTCAAAGTGGACTGTCCATTGGGCCGTTTGTCGGGGGCTCCTGATGGCTCAGCGTCGAGGGCATCATGAATAGCTTCAAGCTGCGAGTTGGATACGAGAGCTTGGAGATCAGCTCCGGAGAAGCCCTCTGTCTGGCCGGCAATGTCTCTGAGAACGTCGTCCGATTCGCTTAATTCGGGAGCCAGCTTGACCTTCTGGAAAAGGGCCTTGAGGATATCCAACCGGTCTTCTGGCGCTGGCAGGTCGCAAAGCAACGACTTATCCAGACGACCCGGGCGTAGCAAAGCCGGGTCAATGAGGTCTGGTCGCGACGTGGCTGCCAAAACATAAACACCAGAGAGTCCTTCAGCACCATCCATCTGAGTCAAGAGCTGATTTACTACTCGATCTGTCACACCCGTAGAATCGTGCCCTCTTTTTGGTGCAATAGAGTCAAACTCATCAAAGAACAGTACACAGGGTTTTGCTGCCTGAGCTCTGTCAAACAAATCTCGAACGCTCTTTTCTGACGCACCAATGTACTTGTTGAGAATTTCTGGACCCTTCACGCTGATAAAATTCAGACCACACTCTCCTGCAACGGCACTCGCGAGGAGTGTTTTGCCACAGCCAGGGTAGCCGTAGAGCAATAGACCAGATCGCAGCCGAAGTGGGCATTGGGCGAAGATAGGCGCATATTTAGTAGGATATTGGAGGGTTTCGAGGAGAACCTTTCTGGTTTCCTGAAGCCCGCCGATCGACTTGAACGTAGTTGTTGAGCTCTGAAGAGACACGTTGCGAAGAGATGCTGGCGTGAAACCTTCCAAAGCTTTATCAAAGTCAACTCGAGATAACCGAATCAATTCGTTCCCAGGACCATTGGGATCGATTCCGATAGCTCGGATGATTGCCTCATTTCTCGCCCGTGAGACGAGGACAGTGATATCGCCGGGCATGTATCCATCCGTCGATCCCGAGATATCCAGGAAGTCCAAGTCCGGATCCAGTAGGAATCCGTTGTTGGTACGTGGCTGCGGATGATCTCGACTGGTTTGGCTTGCTCCATCCATCCAGGCGCCACTATCATCGTCGCCCGCACTGGTGCTGCCGTCCGCCGTAACTGGTCGGCTATTGTCCCACCCGTTTTCTTCACTGTCGCGAGGCGCGTCAACGGCGCCTTCTCTCGCAATGGCCTCCATGATCCTTCTCCTGGCCTCCTTTCCTGGTGCCTTGAGTTCCACAATATCGCGTACGACGTGTCCACTCACCACCACACCGTTCAGTGAGTCTTTCCCCTCAGCAGTCGCAAGCAATACAACACCATTCTCGGCATTGCAATACTGCCGAACAACAGACCGCACGATTTCGCTGACCTGTCGACTTCTCCCGTTGTCATTACCGACTTGGAGCTCTGTTTCGACAGGACAGAGTCGATCCAGGTCATCAAGGACAACTAGGGCCTTGCCACCGAGCCTAGCCCCCCAACTAGCTGACATGAAAATGTGATTCAATGTCTCCTTGATAGTCGATATTCTTGTTTCATCCGTAACTAGCTTGCGACAAGAATAGTAAATAGTGTGGAAAAGGAGGTCCTGGCGAAGCTTGGAAGCCAGATGCTTTGCCACAGATGTTTTCCCTGATCCCATTGCTCCTGTAAGAAGCAGCGACGATAAATGTGACAGCTGCCCTTGCAAGTCCTCCAGAATCGAATCCACCCCCACCAAAGCGGAATCGTTGGCAGGCTGGAGATCATAGTCTTCCTCTGTCTTGACGAAGTCTTTTTTCGGAACGGGAGGCTGGAACTCGATGGGTGTTTTATCGTCAAGCCCAAGTAGCCAGCGTGCATGGTCCTTGCTCTGCTCCTGCGCTGTCTGGTCCGCAGAAAGTTCGAATTTGACATAGCCACCCTCCCAACTTTTGGGGGCATCCAAACCCTCATAAACTCCAAGAACTGTGCCATCTGTGATTGGGCCTTTTATCAACCCACCAACACCCGTGTCAGTTTTCGAGTAAAGATGTCTGAATTGTTTTGCCGCCTCTTCCTTTTCGGCGCGAGACTCCCCACCGAACCGAAGACCATTACTGGAGTCCGAGCTGGGCGCAAAAGGGAAGATCTTGACATGCTTGATAGCCCCTCGACCAAGCTGCTGGGGAGCTGCTTGGATCTTGATAACACCACCAACGAGACCCGGAGATCCAAGAGCGGCGCAGAGCGGCGATGAAAGGGCGACAGTCTGTCCATCCGGAGGGTCATCCCAAGGTCGTAAGTGGGCAACAACTTTGGGTGGCGTCAGCCCCTTTGCGGCATCTGGGGCAGAAGCTCCGTCATCAGGCTGGAGTTTCTGAAGACCACCAGGTTTCATCAACTCGACAACAACGTAGTTAATGCCGTTGAATGAAGCAGATGAGAGGGTGTCGCGATCAACCCACACGCTCAGCTCGTGAAGAATAGGGTCCTCGTCAAAGAAATCAAGGCAAATTCCTCGGTCCAGACCTCGTAAGAACAGTGTCGGCTGCTTTTCCTCTCGGGCGCTCCTTCGACGTATGGTACTCGCCCCGCTGCGCTTCGACTTGGATGTGCTCGCGACACTTCGATGGTCACCTGAGCTCTGAGAGGCTTTGGCTCTCGTTTTCGGCGCAACAATGACCTCGGCGTTTGGGGACAACTTCGCGAAAGCGGAATTGGCTGGAGGCACCGGCTCTAATGACACAACTCGAATGTTCGCGGTTGAAGTTGGGGATAGGTGAAGCGTCAGTGTATTCGAGAGAATCGGAACACCACCCTCA